CCATCCTCCTCTGGTCCACACCGGGCAGTACAGTGTGTGTGTGTGTGTGTGTGTGGTGTGTGTGTGTGATATATATATATATATATATATATATATATATTATATATATATTATATCATTTCAACACACCAGCTGTCCCTTTACATTGTGTGAAAAGGATCATGATGAATGGACCAATAGAAATGCTCTAAAATCACTTGGAATAAAATCTCTTTACATTAACTTAGATTAAAGGTTAAGGGCATTTTTGCCCTCTACTGAAGAGTTACTGTTTTGGAGATACAAGGTTTTACATACATCACTGCTTTGTACCTCGTATCTCCATTTTTGTCGTTTTTCAGTTTTTGGCATAATTTGAAAATACCTGGCGTCCTTTATGTACTGAGTAAATTTCATGATGAACAGATCAGAACAAATGGTTCAAAATGACTTGATAAAAATTCTGGTTCCATTGGCTTGCATTAAAAGTAAAGTAGGTTTTTTCCTTCTCCTGTAAAGTTACCATTTTGGAGATACTTGTTTTTCTTTGTACAGTGACGCATATCGCTGCTGTCGGAACAAAACCGTGTACCTCCAGTTTTGTCGTTTATTTTTTGACGTAATTTAATAATGTCTGTTGCTCTTGAAAAAAGAGAAATATACACCGATCAGGCATAACATTATGACCACCTCCTTGTTTCTACGCTCATTGTCCATTTTATCAGCTCCACTTACTATATATATTGGTGTGTGTGTGTGTGTGTGTGTGTGTGTGTGTGTGTGTGTGTGTGTGTTTTATATATATATATATTTATATATATCACTAACAGTAAAGCGTTGGCGTTTTTCATAATAAAGCACTATCATCACTTCCTTTTCAGTGTAGATACACAGATGTTTGTTGCTATATGGTTTTTGAGCGTCAGCTCTATTCATAATAAACTATAATGCTGTTAGTAACACTGCTTTTCAAATAAAGACTCCCGGTTTGCTGCTCCAGCTGTTTATTCATAATAACACAGGATATTTATAACTTCTATTCAAGTAGTGACGCAGATATGTGTGTGTCTGTGCCGCTATAGTGGATTAGGGCTGGTTGTTTATTCATAGAGAAGCGTAACTCACACAATATACACTCATGGACACACTTCTCAGAAAGCATTGATTCAAACACGCACACACACACGCACTCGCGGGCCCTGAAGTCCTGTTTCTGTTCCCGTCATGTGTCCCAACCGCCTCTGACAGGCCACTCAATGCACATCAAATATTTGTAAGCAGTGTGTCCTGCTCAGGAGATGCTGTATAAAATAAAAATGAGTCTTTTATTGTGACGGGTGGAGGAAATAGCTCTGTGTGGGTGGCTTTGTTTCCCAGAGGGCTGTTGGTTTGAATCTTGCGCAGATTACTGTGGTTTAGAGTCCGATATGGGAAAAAGAGTATATTTCAGTGACATATTTGTAGAATATTTGCACATATTTTGAAATTCGGCCAGTCAAATTACATGTTTTGGTTATACACTGACTGGTCACCTTCATGTTTCTACACTCAGTGTCCATCTTTTCAGCTCCACTAACCATATAGTTTCACTGTGTAGTTCTGCGGTTACAGACTGTGGTCCATCTGTTACTCTGCATACTTTGTTTCCCTGTTCTTCAGTGGTCAGGACCCCCATGGACCCTCACAGAGCAGGTACTATTTGGGTGGTGGATCATTCTCAGCACTGCAGTAACACTGACGTGGTGGTGGTGTGTTAGTGTGTGTTGCGCTGGTCTGAGTGGATCAGACACAGCAGTGCTGCTGGAGTTTTTAAACACCTCAGTGTCACTGCTGGACTGAGAATAGTCCACCAACCAGAAATATCCAGCCAACAGCGTCCTGTGACCACTGATGAAGTACTAGAGGATGACCAACACAAACTGTGCAGCAGCAGATGAGCTATCGTCTCTGACTTTACATCTACAAGGTGGACCGACAAGGTAGGAGTGTCTAATAGAGTGGACAGTGAGTGGACACAGTGTTTAAAAACTCCAGCAGCACTGCTGTGTCTGATCCACTCAGACCAGCACAACCCACACTAACACACCACCACCACGTCAGTGTTACTGCAGTGCTGAGAATGATCCACCACCCAAATAGTACCTGCTCTGTGAGGGTCCATGGGGGTCCTGACCACTGAAGAACAGGGTAAAAGGGGGCTAACAAAGTATGCAGAGAAACAGACGGACTACAGTCTGTAACTGTAGAACTACAGAGTGGAACTATATGGTCAGTGGAGCTGATAAGATGGACGGTGAGTGAAGATACAAGGACGTGGTTTTAAGGAAGTGGGGTGTGTGTGTGTGTGTGTGTGTGTGTGTGTGTGTGTGTGTGTGCGACTGAAGCCTAAAGATTAACACACACTCCATCAGTCAGTGGAGCTCTGAGTCACAACCCAACACTCACACAGTAAACCTGATTAAACAGACTGTAAATAAACCTCTCTCTCTCTTTATCTCTCTCTCTCTTTCTCTCTCTCTCTCTTCCCTTTTTCTTTCTCCTTTTCTTCTCTCTTCTCTTTTCTCCCCTCTCTTTTCTCTTTTCTCTCTCTCCTCTTTTTCTGTCTCTCCCTCTCTGCTCTCTCCTTTCTCTCTCTCCCTCTCTTCTCTCTCTCCTTCCCTCTCCCCTCTCTCTCCAGTCTCTCCTCTCTCGCTTACCTTTTTTTCCCCTTTCTCCCTCTCCCTTCTCTTCTTTCTCTCTTTCTCTTCCCCCTTTCTTCATTCTCTCCCCTCTTTCTCCTCTTTTCTACCTCTCTCTCTCTCTCTCTTGCTCTCTCTTCCCCTTTTCTTTTGTCCCACCCCACCCGCTCCCCCCTTTCTCTCTCTCTCCCTCTTTTTCCTCTCCCTCTCCCCCTCTGCCTCCTCCCTCACTCAACCCCTCTTCTCTCTCTCTCTCTCTCTCTCTCTCTCTCCCTTACTAAGTGTACTGAGCTCTCTCACTTGCTGTCCTGTATAAGATCTAAACCCTGTTTGATGTTGAGTTTAAATAATCTGTTTGTGCTCCATCGTTTGTTGTTAATTAATCACAAACAGCATCAAAGAATGCAGCCGTGACGGACTGATCGCTGCCATGGTTACTCCTCTGCATGATGACATTTCTCGTGTCTGTATGTCCTTCTGACTGCGTCTGTCAGAACGAGTAGCCGGTGTCCTTTAGGCCGAGAGCTCTGTGTTCATGTGGACTGAACTGTTTCTCTCTTGGTTCTCTGATGTATAGAGACCAATTTCAAACAATTACTGCTGATGATGGATTAAAATAATCCCGATTAATCAGTTCTTTATGTGGTCACTCACAGTCAGCTGTGTTTATTTGCTCTGATTTGTTTTCATTTAAACGCAGTACAGTGTGTTATAGTGACGTGAGTGGACAAAATAAGCTTCATCTGCCTGAACTCATTACTTTTAATAATTCAATAACAGTACTTATACAAGAAAATCACACAATTTCCATCAAAGAACTTTTCCTTTTCAAATATTTTATCAAATTAATCAGAGTTTTTAGTGAATATTTGTTGCAGCCCTTATACATTTCGCTGCTGTCGCTACAAAGCTTGTATCTCCATTTTTTTCAGTTTTTGACATAGTTTGAAAATGCATGTGGTCGTTTATGTTGTGTGTAAATTTCATGATAAATGAACCGAAAGAAACGGCCCAAAATGACTTGGAAAAATTCTGGTTCCATTGACTTACATTAAAAGTAAAGTAGGTTTTTCCTTCTCCTGTAAAGTTACCATTTTGGAGATACGAGGTTTTGTTCCAGCAACACCTATTTGCATATATTGTCACATAAACCTTCATTCTGAATCCAGAGGCATTAATATGGAGTTGGTCCCCCTTTGCAGCTCTAACAGCTTCCACTCTTCTGGGAAGCTTTCTACAGATTTTGGAGTGTCTGTCGGAATTTTTCACCCTTTCATCCAGAAGAGCGTTTGTGAGGTCAGACACTGATGCTGGACGAGAGGGTCTGGCTCACAATCTCCGTTCTAGTTCATCCCAATGGTGTTTGATGGGGTTGAGGTCAGGGCTCTGTGAGGGCCAGTCAAGTTCTTCCACACCAAACTCACCCAGTCAGGCCTTTATGGAGCTGCTTTGTGCACTGGGGCTCAGTCATGCTGGAACAGGAAAGGTTCTTCCTCAAACTGTTCCACAAAGTTGGAAGTGTATAATTGTCCAAAATGTCTTGGTGCTGAAGCATTAAGGTTTCCCTTCACTGGAACTAAGGGTTCTAGACCAACCCCTGAAAAACAGCCCCATATCATCATCCCTCCTCCACCAAACTTTACAGCCGGCACAGTGCAGTCAGGCAGGTAACGTTCTCCTGGCATTCACCAAACCCAGACTCGTCCATCAGATGGATGGACAGATAGAGAAGTGTGAGTCCAGTGGCGGCGCTTTACTCCACTCCATCTGACGCTTGGCTTTGTGCATAGTGATCTTAGGCTTGGCTGCAGCTGCTCATCCATGGAAACCCATTTAGTGAAGCTCCTAATGTGCAGTTCTTCTGCTGATGTTGCTTCCAGAGGGAGTTTGGAGCTCTTTAGTGATGATTCAACAGAGGATAGACACTGTGAGCTTCAACACTCGGCGGCCCACTCTGTGAGTTTGGTGGTCTAACCACTTCATGACTGAGCTGTTGTTGCTCCTAAACACTTCCATTTCACTTACAGTTGTCTGGGGCAGAACTAGCAGGACAGACATTTCACAAACCAAGGTGGCATCCTATGACTGAGCCATGCTTAAAGTCACTGAGCTCATCAGTACAACCATCTACTGCCAGTGTTTGTCTATGGAGACTGCAAGGTTTTGTGCTTGATTTTAGACACCTGTTAGTAATGGGTGTGGCTGAAACACCTGATAACACTATAATTAGGAGGTGTGTCCACATACGTTTGTCCATATAGTGTATCTCTCGCATATAAACAGCACCACACAATTATATTTGTATAAATAATTGAAATGTGTGTCTGTGTTTGTGTGTTTTAGGAGGTTGACGACCTTGAACAAATGTGCTGCTATGAGCCTGGAGGTTCACTTTCGGTGCAAACAGGTTAGTGAATTCTGATTGGTTAAGGCCACTGTCAGTCACTCTTATGGCGTACAAACACTGGACCCTTTCATCTGTTCGCTGCATCCTCTGTTTTAGATGCTGTGCACTTATTTAATAAATAAATAAAAGATAAAAAATTTTTAAAGTGTACTTTGGATAACTTTCCTTCGTTTACTGGAATTTTTTGCTGAATTGTGTTGGCAATATTTTGTGTGGAGGGATTTTGGATCACTTCCTTGGCTCTTTCATTGACCCGCTTTGCACACTTCAAAGGGAACTGGCTAATCTGTTCCCGAAACGTAATGATGTTATAATTAGATTGAGTTCTGTGTTTGACAGAGTGAGGACTCTGAAGAGGATGACGCCTGTGCTCTCAGTTCCCGCTGGGCATTTCAGCGTGAGAGCAAAACTTGGTCCCGCCTCTGCACCGTCGCCCCTGCCGACGGGGTGGTGACCTTGCGGCCTTCGGCAAGCAGCGACAGCGTCCTGAGCGACTTCAGCCATGACGTGACCTCGCTGACCTCGGACCTCAGCCTCAGCAGCCTGAGCCTGGACAGCACTCGGGAAACAACGTCTCCGGGGGTCGCGACAAGTGAAAGCTCGGACTTTGCGCAAGTCTCGTCAAGCCGCGGCGACGACGATGATGCTGTCGACAGTGGTTCGGCTTCGTCTCCGTCCGTCCAGGGAAAAGCCCAGACGCACCTCCAGGCTCTTCTTGCGCCGGATGGAGTCTCTACGGCGACGGAATCGTGAGAAGGAGACGGTTACTATGGGCGTCTCCACGGAAGCAAACTTCCAGGAGACGGGATTAAGTTTGCACTGCACTCCAGATGCCAGCCTGCCGGGAATGACCACAAATAAACATTGTGTTGGCAAGGATGCCGCATGGAAGTCTCACACGATATGCCGGACCAACTTCAGCCAATCAGAAGCTCCGATCAAACCTCAAAGGGTGTGTCTTTATTTGGAGGATTATCAGTTGGCATGGGAAAGGGAAAAGCCGCACGGCAGACTTTTCGGAAAGGAGAGGCGGATCGTCCACCTTCCTTCAGACCACAAGCCTGGAACCTTCCCCAAGTCCTTGTCGATTGAAAGTCTTTGCCCCGCCCCGCTCTCTGAGTGCAGTGACCGGATTGGCTGGCCTGTAGATGATGGCGATTTCTCGTTGGGTGGTGGCAGCAGCCGGAGTGAATCGCAGGACTTTCTTACCGCTGGTTTCGGGAAGAGACGCAACTCAGCAGGTTCGATTGGGAGCGTTTACGACAACGTTCCGGAGGTTTCCGCCGAGGAAGAGTCTTCCACGTTTGAGGAAGACACAGCGTTCCAGCATCTGGATGATATTCTACAGCAGGTCCATGGGCTGCAGCTCAATATAGACCAGTGGTCACATTCGCTCGAGCAGCAGTTACAAGACCACCCGTCCAACTCTGAGAGCGAGTCTACGGCTGAAACTACTTTACCCGGCAGCCTCCAGTACGAGGATCGGTCAGTGTCGGATATGGGGATGACGGTTAGCGACTATGAAAGTGCCGGAAATTCGTTGAACGACGGAGACGGAGATGGAGAAATGAGAGAGAGGAGAGACTCAGGAGTGGGAGCGTCCCTAACTCGGCCGAGCAGGTAAGAGCCGACAGTATTTTTTGTAGCCGTCGTATGTTGGGTCATTCCCCTTTTTTTTCCTGCACCATTTAAAATTGCCTTTGTTGTGTAAATGTTTAATGATGAATGGACCAATAGCAGTGGACTAAAATTGAGTCTGTATAAAACCAAACGACTGCCGTAAATTCTAAAGAATCCTATACCGTTGTCTTTAACGTTATTTTATATAACGTTGTATAACGACAATTCGTCAGAGCTGTTTTACCCTCCCAGCCTCTTCATGGTGTAATTAAAACACTATTTAAATCATTATGTCTGACTTATAGCTCATTAAAGCAAAACTTTTATTATGATTTGAATTTGATAAAAAATGTGCATTTTTTTTTTTTATTTAAAAAAATGGACACTATATTTTTGCCAAATTTTTGCCATTTCTTGACGTCAAAAAGAAACCCAAATCTGTTGATACAGAATGTAAATCCAACGTAAATGTAAAGCTTTTACAATGTAATTGTGTGTTTTTGCATCATTACTTTAAAATCATTTGTCCCCTTGGAATTATGAGGTTCTATTTGAGATTTTTCCAAAATTGAGTTATTCACATACTTTTATTCTGTGACAACTTCTTAACATCATGTGAGATGTTTCTTAAGTTATAAGCATTTTTGGACTCTTTTTTTTGGAAAACAAAAAGGTTCTGTCTCCAAAGCCAAACTCTAACTTAGTTCTATAAGGTTCTGTCTATGAGCCAATCAGCACTTCGAATGCACACAAGAGGACCAATCAGGTTCTGCTTCTTTGTCATGTCGCCACTTTGCTCAGTGACAGCGGGAAAAGTTTATAAAACTTTATGAAACATAAAAACGTTGCTGAAACCCTGCCTGTCTTCTTACAGCTCTTTAAAAAGTCTTACGGTCTTAAATTTGATCAATTTTAAGCCTTAAAGGTAATTAATTTGTATATATTTGAACCGATGGGTCTTAATTACAACATAAACATTAATTTCATTCATTCATCCATATTTTCTTTTTCTTCTTTACCCCAAAATAAGACATTTTGGCTCATTAAAGTCGCATTTCTGATATAAACAAAACCTCATACGGCCTTTAGACTGACCTGCTGGGACAGTTTATTACAGTATCTGCTGTCTAACCTAAAGGAAACTTTAACAGTTTCTTCCTCAAACTGACCTCTGCACTGGACAGTATATTTAGCACTGACCTTTATACTTAATCTGCAAAGCTTTTTTGAATAAGACAAAGATGATTTGTTCTAAAACAAGAAATAAATGTCAAAGAATATATAACTAGTGAAATGTTATAAAAATGTCAGTGTTAAATTTACCTTTCTGGTCATGTTGAAACTCTGTTACACTAATTTTATGTTTTAAAACAAGTCTAAACTGTTTGTGTTACATGAAAATCATTGCTTATTTTCATTTTTGCCAGATAGAACCTTATAACTCCAAGCAGAAAGTGGGTTCTTAGGATTAGAAGGTTCTGCATTTGACCTGTTCCAAAAAACTCTTGTACAAATTTGATAGGATTTTGATTTTGTACATCTAGAATAAATTTAGGGTGTCTGTCATTGTCATGTATGAAGTGACGTGTTCCACGTATCAGTTTTGCTATTTGGTGCAAAATCTTTGAGGCTGAATATCTCAGAACTGCTCAGAACACAGATAGAACCTTATAATTCCAAGGGGACAAATTCTGCAATGTAAACCGAGTGCTAAGCAAAAAGACAGAAACTCGACTTCTTAGGATTAACACATTAATTCAGCTCAGGTTTTGCTGAAATTTCAGCCTGAATGAGAGAGAAATGGTTCTCTTTTGAGTGGAAATAAGATTTTCCACAGCTGTGATTGTAGCATTTTTAATAAAATGGCTTTGACTTTGAAAGCCAGCAGTGAAGCAGGCATTCAGGCCTCCTGGATTTCTGCTCTGCGAGAAGAAAGAACACCGGAGCGTTGTTGTCAAACTGAGTGCAGTTCATAAAACACGGCTTATCCTGCAACAGCTCACACGTATCAGTTCTTTCCCGAGGCAATTGATTTGTTCTTTCTTTTTAATTTCATACCGAAGCCAAATTATGACCGTCTGCAACAACAAAATGAAACAAAATTAAGCCTTTAAAATGCTTTGGCCAAATGCAAAATGAAAATAAACCACTTTCCGTCTGGTTCTGGCTTTAGTTTACCACTGTGATGCAGTTTGCAAACCATGGGGGTCTTACGTTTGAATGACTGAATTTGAGACTTTACCAAATCGCATTAACTCAGTCCTCACTGCACTGACGCTTGAGGGAGTTTCTATATGTGGCATTTCAATGTTTGGGATTTAAATCAAAACAGATTGGATGCTTCAGTGCAGTGCCCTGACACACGGACACCACAGTTCACCCTGTGCTCGCGTTTGCAGTAAAGATTAAGGGGCCTAATACAAAGCCCTGGGGTACGCCACCGATCATTCTCGACAAATAGATATCGCGTAGCTTTAGGATGAGCTTTAAGACGCTGCGCTTGCTCTTTATGGAAACTTCGGGCCCATTTCTCACTCAGGGAGCCTTTCAAGTTTAGTTTTGTATTAGCACTCTAAGGCTAATGTAGCTAGTAAGAAATGGAAGCTACCACACCAAGCTGTGGAGCTGCATCTCCAAACTCAGCGGTGACCTGAGCTGTGAGCGAGTTTATAAAGTACAAAGCTTCTCTAAAATGAAAACGTCCCACACATTGTTACGGTTCGCCTGTTTCTTGAAAAGCAAAGGAAAAACAAAGATGTTTTGCCAATTTTTTTTTCTGCTTTGCTGACAACTTAATTCCAAAAAGAATTGTCGGGGTCGGAAAATAAATCATTTTGCATTTTTCTTTATTCATTTATTCGCACCACGTTCTATGTGTAGTGGATTTAGACTGTTTTGCAAAAGTAAAGGCCTTGTTTGTTCTTCCACTTCCTCGTTTCCGTCTCGTCAGCTCTTACTTTTCACCTCTCTCGCGCTCTCTCTCTCTCTCTCGCTCTCTCTCCCTCCGTTTGTCCTTATAAAGTTTCTTCCACTCTCTCTCTCTTAGGAAGTTGCGATGGCACAGTTTTCAGAACTCCCACCGTCCCAGTGTTTCGTCAGCGTCTCAGGAGATCAACCGTCAGTCAGCAGCTCAGCTGAACCTGCTGCAGAAGTACAGCCTGCTGAGACTGACCGCTATACTGGAGAAGCACTGCGACATGGGCAAACACGGCTGGAGCTGGTGAGAGAGAAAGCATAAGCGCTGTTCTGACCCTCACGCAGGAGGGGTGTATAATAATTGACTAAAATAATATTCAGACAGCTTGTTTTCTGTTTTATTGTTTATGTTCCACCAGTGTGTAAAGTGTAAATAGCTCCTCCAGTTGCTTTTCATTGATGGACTCAACAGTCGAAACCGAATCGGTGACTCAGAACAAAAAAAATATGGAATTTAAAGTCCTAAAACAGAAATATGTGTTCTGAGTTTGTCACACCACAGAAAATACATTAACAACCACCCAGCTGTGGTTTAGCATCTTCCGCTGAAGCTGCTAAACCACACCCATTTACTGGAAAGGCGCAGCCTCTCTTCACCTTCGTATTCGCCACAACATAAATGCTGCACAATTTAAGGTGGAATGGGAAGATTCGAACAGGAAACTGAAGTCAGTTTCCTGTTCGAATCTTCCCATTCCACCTTAAATTGTGCAGCCACATTCTGGCAAATACGAAATCAGAGAGCGAGTAAACGACTCTGAGCTCAGCAGATTCTGACGCCACACATTCAGTCCACTCAGCATCACTCAGACTGACCGCTACCTTCACCCCCTCACCTCCTCCACCAGCACTCACTCTCTCTCTGTATCTCTCTGTATCTCTCTCTCTCACTCTCTTTCTGTATCTCTCTCTGTATCTCTCTCTCTCTCTCTCTCTCTCTCTCTCTCTCTCTCTCTCTCTCTCTCTAAAGAATCGTATCAGACGCTCCTCAGAGTGGCAAAATACGCTCAATTTTTCATCTCCTACTGCCCTTCATTCTTTATCCCTTCTTTTTTTGACATCTCTTCTATCTCCACCCCACCTCTCTCAATCTCTCTCTCTCTCTCTCTCTCTCTCTCTCTCTCTCTCTCTCTCTCTCTCTCTATTCCATCAGACACTTGGCAGAAAATGTTGTTTTTATTTTTCACCTCCTACTGGCCTCCATTCTCTTTCCCTTCTTTTTTTCTTTCTTTGTTTTGCCTCTCTCTCCTCTATCTCTCCCCCACCTCTCTCACATTCTTTCGCTCTTTCTCTTCTTTTCTGTTCTCACTCTCTCTCATTCTCTCTCTGCCTCTCTCACCTTCTTTCACTCTGTTTCTTCCTGTTCTTCCTTTTTTTTGACATCTCTTTTCTATCTCTACTCCACCTCTCTCTCTCTCTCTCTCTCTCTCTCTCTGTTTATCTCTCTCTCTCTCTCCCTCTCTCCCCCTTTCTCTCTGACTCTCTCAATTCCACAAAATCATTTGACAGAAAATGTTGTCTTTATTTTTCACCTCCTACTGGCCTCCATTCTCTTTTTCTTTGTTTTTTTGCCTCTCTCTCTTCTGTCTCTCCCCCACCTCTCTCACCTTCTTTCACTCTGTCTTTCTTCCTGTTCTCCCTCTCTTTTCCTCGCATGTCTCTCTCTCTCTCTCTCCCTTTTAAGAGCAACAAAATGTGTTCAGTTTCCATTTTCACCTCCTACTCATCCTTTTCTCTTTTTTCCTTCCTTTTCTTTTGTCTCTCTTATGTATCTGTTCCCTGACCTCTCTCACTCTCTCTTTGTCTTTTTTCCTGTTCTGTCTTCCTGTTCTCTCTCTTTCTCTCACTCTCTCTTTCACCTCTCTCTCTCTCTTTCTCCTCTCTCTTTCTTTCTCTCTCTCTCTCTCTCACTCTCTCTTTCTCCTCTCTCTCTTTCTTTTTCTCTCTCTCTCACTCTCTCTTTCTCCTCTCTCTCTTTCTTTTTCTCTCTCTCTCTCTTTCTCTTTCTCCTCTCTCTTTCTCTTTCTCCTCTCTCTTTCTCTTTTTCTCTCTCTCTCTTTTTCTCCTCTCTCTCTTTCTCTCTCTCTCTCTGTCTCTCTCTCTCTCTCTCTCACTCTCTCTTTCTCCTCTCTCTCTTTCTCCTCTCTCTCTCTCTTTCTCCCCCCTCTCTCTCTCTCTCTCTCTCTCTCTCTCTCTCTCTCTCTCTCTCTCTCTCTCTCTCCCTCCTACTGTTGTAAGTGTAGTTTTGCTCTGTTTGGCTGCAGTTTCAGGTTTTTTTTTTTATTCAATTATAAAAATAAAAGACTTTTTTTTCATCTGTCGACTATAAGATGCTTTTCGTGGAGCAGACTATTAGAGTTTCATTCTCTTTGTTGACCTGCTGCTGCACCGCCGGGAAGTTTGGAAGCAATACTACCTTTGCCTGAGTAAACATGGATTTTTTTTTTTTCTTTTCTATTTTATTTTGCATTACCTGACAGTGCTGAGCAGATCTGAGACGGTCAGTCAGGAACTTTTCTGAAAGTCTCTTCACCTTTGAGTTAATCAAGGTGTCAGTAAACGTTTCATGGAGTGAAAAATATCTTTAAAACTTTAAATAATAATTTTGATGATTAGCGTCTCAGGTTCCTTCCACACTCTTGGCTTGTCGCGTAGCTGCGCTGTGGTTGGCTGAAGCAGCCTGGACGTCTCTGATCTCCGTCTTTTGGTTGGACAGGGCCGTGCCGAAGTTCATGAAGCGCTCCAAAGGGCCGGACTACAGGGACAAGCATGTGTTTGGTGTCCCGCCAATCGTGAACGTCCAGCGGACCGGGCAGCCCCTCCCACAGAGCATCCAGCAGGCCATGAGGTACCTGCGCAGCCAGTGTCTGGAGAAGGTATGCAGTGAGTTCCAGTGTCCAGTTGCATGAAACATGTTTTTACTTACAGGTGTTGCATAAACACCCCTAGGATGTTTCTCTTAGGCTCGGCCTACACGACACAATTTTTGCCCCATTTTGACCCCAATTTGCCCCTTGTGACAAATTTCCTAGAGATGCATTTATACCACTTTTTCCCTTCCGATACTGATACATGATCCTTCAGTATCGGCCGATACCGAGTACCAATACTGATACTCACTCTATCTAACCTAACTCACCTATAAGACCTCATATTTATACAGTTTCATTTTAAAAGTATTTTATTTTGGTCAAATCTCTGATCTGCGTCACAAATAAAACACACTCAGCTTGGCTAGATGGCATTATTTATTGGACTATATTTATTGGATGCTTAAGAAAACTTATTTTTGTTTATTTACTGTATATAATTAGTATTTACTATTATATAAGAACTATGTTTAACAACTTAAGTAAGTGTAAAATATCTTTATTGTGCAGAACATTTAAAAACAGAGCTGAACAGTGAACAGATGAACCTGTGGTGTTCACACAGCAGCTTCTCTGGCTCTAAAACGGAGCTGAATGTCGTTCACTCGATCGTCAGTTCAGTGAACATCACCATCGTTCACGCTGTCCGTATCAGCGACTCTCAGTGTTTTTTCCGGCTTGGTTGAAGCGGCGGGCCGCAAGACCCCGCTGCTGAGTGATACAGCTGACCGACGGAGACGCACCCCAGGCTAGGAGATGCACATGCCCAGCTAGCGGGCTGCTGTGCTAAAGGCTAAATGAAGGCTAAAGGCTCATTACACTGAGAGTCTGCCGGTTCCTTCTGCTCTCTCAGTAACGTGAACTCGGACTGTAAGTGGCCACACAGCGGCAGACGAGTGATACTGAAAGAAGCAGCTCAGCTGGTCAGGTTAGCGGCTCTGTTTGCAGGTTCTTAACACCAAAAACTCCCGTTACAGATTCTGCCGTGAGTGTTTTTACCACTGCTCGTCGCCCCACACTGTCAACGTGTTGTTCGGTTCTGTCTACTGGCGCGTATGGATGTGTCAGAAGTTGCTTTGTGGTATCAGATATATTTGTTGGTAGCCCATTGCTGATACGAATACTCTGTTTAAGTGCCAGTATCGGCGCTGATACGGTACAGTATTGGTATCAGTTGTTATCAACACTAAAATTTCCCCAATCTGAAGTGATTGTCCAGGTTGGACGCTCGATCAGACGCGACTGACGGTGGGGATGATCTGTAGTGTGAGAGGAGAAACGAGTGAATCTTTAGCCGTCCGATCTGCTCTGAAGTGATCAGAGACCCTCCGATATTATCAAACATGTTTGATGTTATGACTCAGAACAGCCACAAGTCCTGCAGTGTGAGACGGTCAGAGATTTACTCAGTGAGTGATTCAAACAACAGCCAGTCAGAGAGCTGGAAGAGTGAAGAAACAGAGGAGCTGAGCGTAAAACACAGGCAGATAAGAGATGAAATCATGTTTCTAGTGTTTGGATCCAGATCAGGTCACTGTCTTTACAGTTTCAGCTCAGCTGCCAGTTTGTAGTGAAAAATTTCTTCAGCTCTCACTGTGATTTCAGCGTTTCTCACCACAGATTAATCCCAGTTTGACCTTCCGCTGCACATAAAAGCACAAACAGGTCCAGTAAGTTCAGCTCTGTTTGTGCCAAATGATCTCTGAGGAGATTCTGGTCCGTTTTGCTTGGTTTTGGTCCACCTGCAGGGCTGAATCTGCAGTGACGGTGGGGA